GTTTAAACTCTGTAGAGAGATTGGTTTTTAAACTGGAGGTTGTTTCTCAAGGTATTTTTGGAAGACTTGTCTCTCTCCCACGCAGAGGAGAAAGTATAGATCCTGATTTATACAAACTCCCCTTTAGATACTGTTCCCACTTTTTAGAATTCCACAGGCATTTTGTTTTAACTTATTTTTCGAAAAGTGCGCTTTTGATATTCCATTTTCGAGTACGGTATAAATCCAGTGGCTTAATCCAAACATTCTTTGTTTTTATCGTATCTTATCTTTTTTTTTATTTCATAGACCACCGTGATTATTCCATCCGGTTCCTCACGCCAATTCGAGAAAAGCACATGGCCGCCATGTCACCTCCTCCATCCAGGCCCAAGCTACATTTCTCGGCCTTTCTCCCGTAGACATACACCCGCAGCGGAACAAAGCCTGATCCCCACGTCTTGTGAACACCCCACGGCCACCGAGGCGCCGGCTTCCAGCCCGCCGCTACTTACTTCCCCGCGTTGTCCGCGCAAAGGCCAGGCCTCAGACCGCGCGTTCGCTATCACGGCGACAGCCAAAAAGAAAGGGCGGAGCCTACCAAGTAAGGTTCTTCCCTGCTCTGCAACAATCGGCTCTCCCATTGGGCGCAAAAAGCAGCCAATCCGACATCACGTAGCTGACCGAGGCTTAGTAAGCGTTCCGCCAATAGAAACACGAGTCTTCAAACGCCGAGACCGGCGCTGCATGGGCGGGGCTTTTCTGAGTGTGATACAGTAGTCTCAGAGCGGGATCTGTTGGTGAGAAGTGAGGGCTTTATATCAGGGCCGAGGAATTCTGGGAGTTGAAGTCCACAAGTCTTCTTCAAGTTGTCAAGTTTGGGGACCCCTGCTTTATATAGTTTGAACTGGTGGAAGTGAAATTCTTGACTGCCACTAATCTGAAATGGTCTGAATCCTAAACCTATTAACTTGATAATTGCTTAGCTTCCGTTATTAATAGACTACAATATATCCTGAATCACAGGCAGCATGTTTTAAAAATTATCAGCTGCTATGTAGGAAAAGTGGCAGAAGGCCTTCTTGACCCTTCTGAATGCATCTGGTGGATTGCTATAGTAGACCAATGTCTTTGGAGATTGTCGGTCATCCAGGTCATAAGTTATCCCAAAGTTGCTTTTTCACAAGGCAACTGGACTTTCTTGTTTTTCTTTGAAGACATTTCACTTCTCATCCAAGAAGCTTCTTCAGCTCTGGCTGTATGGTGGGGAACGGAAGGATTTATACTCCTTGCAGTACGTAGGATAACATAGGAGAACATACCCATCAGAACAAGATTCAGTAGTCCATCTGCATTTAAAAGACAAAGGCCACTCTTTCGAAGACAGCAAAGTCCACATTTTGGACAGAGAGGACCGCTGGTTTGAAATAGGGGTCAAAGAGGCCATCTATGTCAAAATTGAGCAGCCTTTTCTCAACAGAAGGAAAGGGATATGACATCATCTATCTCCAGTCAACATCAGTCCTTTCAGCAGTTCCAAGAAGGCTCCACACCCATTTGCACTATGGGTGCAGGTCACGAGTTTGAATGCCTGCTCTAAAAGAATGCAAATGACCAGCTGTCTGCAAGGAGTATAAGTCCTTCTATTCCCCACCATCCAGTTAGACCTGAAGTAGCTTCTTGGATAACTAGAGTAGACCACTTTTTGTCTCAACACAAGAGGAAGCTTATGATTCTGTTAAAGATTTTTTGAACTTTGCCTATATTAGAACAGTCAACCAGAGGCATTTAGAAATTATGGCAATGTTCAGTGCAAAAATATGCAAAATTCCAGAAAAGTGTAAAAGAGGCATTTTTTTTCCACAGAAGGGTATGGATATCCAAAGTCTTTTAAGTGCCCTGATTTGGAAGTAAACCCAAGAAGTTCAGTTTTTACTTTTGAATATAGGGTAAAATTGAACAAAGAAAATCCACATCCTTTTATGACTTATTTACAACAGTGACTTCCTGGTTGTGAGAAAATAGTTTTAGTCAAAAAGTTCAGACTATTTATATCATATTAAAGAGTGTGCGGTTGTAGTGAGTTTCTTTTTTATGTTTGATGTTTTTTATTCTTTAAAGTTTCCAGAATCCTTAGGACTTAGTTTAATAACAATAAATCTGAAATCCTCTTTGACACACATATTGCAACATAATTAACCCGTCATTGCTGAGCCTGGAAAAGCAAAGGTATCCTATTCTCACACCAGCGGAAGGTTTGTTGGCAAAGAGCAGATGATTGGAGAGTTCACTTGACCAGATCCTTGGCATGCAAGCTGCTTCCTCTTTGCGTTAAAACGCAGTAACCCTTAGTTTGCCTGGGTGAGAAGACTTGTGAATGCACGGAAGGAACGGGAGCAGCTCTTCCTTTAACAAAAAAAGTCCCGATTCTTGGAAAAAAATGAGGCTTCTGTCCTCAGCGATGTGCAAACGTCAGACGATCGATCGCAGCAGTTCCGCACTCTGAGCGCGCGTATTTTCCTCCACAAAAGTAGCGTGGCTTCTTTTTAGCAACGGCGGG